TGGCATGTGACTGAATAAAATACTCTGGTTCCATGATTCATAGTGAGGAAAGAACTAAAACTGGCAGTCATATTTTTTACATTAATTGAAGCTGCATGGCATGGTGAAGAGTATAGAGTTTAAAGTAAGAAGATCTAGGTTTGAGACAGAACTCTACCTGTGCAGATCATATAACTTTGGGAAAATCATGTAAATCATCAGATTCTTGAGTCTTTTACTGATGAAATACTGTACGTAAAAGTGATTGATAAATTGAGCTCTATGCAAATTACATATATTCCTTTATTCTGATATTTAAGCAATATAGCAATGGCTGGGGAAAATAAATAAAAAGTAACATAAATTAATGTGAGTTATTGCTAAAGTATGCATTATTATAAATATTTTTAAATTTCCTAAACACTTGATAGAAAGCATGGTGTTGGTGGGGAGTTACATAATTATGTAGACTCGGTTTTCGAAGGCTTGGCACTGTTGGCATTTTGGGTCTCTTAATTCTTTGGTGTGCATTATAGGATGTTTAGCAGACTAAATGTCTGCTAGATGACAGTAACACCATCCCCTCCAATTTGTAACAAACAAACAAACAAACAAAACCCCAGATATTGTGAAATGTTTCCTACAGGGCACAATATCCTCTGTTAAGACCTACTGATCTAGACAGTTAGCTAGCTTCTTTATTTGCCCTGAATAGACTTGACCCAAACTTGATTAAAATAAATTGAAATATTTTTCACCACATAAATCTAAGGTGCACACATTTTTTATATAGACAGATAGTATCATCTCATGTGCCTAATATCCTTTTTGGATTATATCTAATGTTGCAGCAAAAGGCACAATCATTTTGTCGACTGTATCAGAATGTAATAATACTTATCACCAAATCAATGAACTGGATAGAGAGAACAGGTCTGAAATGACTTAATATGACTTCTTTTTTGAAACGAATATGTTACAGTGATAGTTTAGGAAAAAATTTAAGATTATCTGTATAATGCAACCTGACTCCTAGTTTTTCTAGCATCATTCTTGTCAAAAAAAAAGCTAATGTCATTCATCCTCAGAACTGTGTAACTTTTTTATTTATCTCAATGCTGATTTTCTTTAATAATTCTGAATTCAAGACCTATAATCACCCATAGCAAAACAAATTATATTCAATAAGACAACCAAAAACTTTTATTATGGCAATATTTTTGCTTTCTTTTTTAATTTTTTAAATTTATTTTTTATTATAAAGATGTGGGATACAATTCAGGATTAGGTATACAAACATTGATCATGCAGGTACCCTTGTTGATGAAGTATGCCCCTCCCTCC